ACTGTTAGCGCAAAATGCACATTCGACGTTCATTTTAGCAAAAAGACGTAAACAGTTTCGTCGAATGCACGCGCCACGAGTGCATCTTTCGCAGAATACGTTTCCCCCCAGTAGAGAGTTTTAGCCTATTTTGTCACAGCTATTTCTTAGACTAATTTTTGATTACTACCATTTCTAAAACTACAACTCCTAAAGAGGCAAATGATGATTGTCTTATTTGATTCATACTTAAATTTCCCAAACACAACCAGAAACTAACGAATAGCATTCAAAATGCGAAAAGGCCCATTATTAAGTCACTTTTTTGCATCTTGCTGATTGGCCAATGTTACGAAAAATTTTTCTTGGGAAAATATTTGACCATTTTTGCGTGTTATTGCGGGCCGGAAAAAATGACGACGCGTTCGGATCCGGCCCGCGGGCCGTAGTTTGGTGACCCCTGATCTAGAGTAACACACATCTGTGTTTTGTACTCGACGGGATAGAAACGGGTATAGGATAGTTTATCTCTTTTCACGTCTTGTTGGGCTTGAAGTGGATTGTTTGTTATATTTTATTGTTTTGCTACCACAAAATTTCTTAGGTAGAAGATTCTTTGCTATTGACAGGCTTGTCAATGGGACAAATTATTCTGTCTCATCCCAACCCATTCCATGGGATTCCAATTAGAATAAAATTCAATTAAAATTGTTAAATATAGGTTTAGCGTTTACTAAATAGGGCTACATGTACGAAGAGACATGCAAAGCAACAAAATTTACGGATTTTGTTAACTTTATATTCATAACTATTATGTCTCCATCAGCCCTTCACGAAGTACATTGTTAATGCTGAATATATTTTGCTCTTTATAACTAACAAGAGAGCTATGCTCGAATATGTGGACACGAAATCCATAACAAGATGTTTTACCACCATTTACCCGAAAATCATACGATTTTCGTGTCCGACGTGTCCCACGGGAAATACAAATGTGTGCTGTCCCATCCCATTCCATTCCCATGGACAAGCCTGGCTATTGTTATTGCTATCCAGCGGAAAACTCTCCTGTCTTGGATTCAGGTCGAAGGCTCTTTTCATCTCAGCTGTGTCGTACTCTACTTCGCTTTCGCCTGAATGCTTGTGATCATGATTTATATAAATATTAGAATAAATTGTGTTTGAGATGAGTATATATATATATACATTTACTAATGTGTCACATTGCTGAAACTGCTAAGTCAGGGCCAAGCCAAAAAAGCTTAAGAGTTTCATACTCAATTAGGTATACAGTGATTTAAACTGTGCATAAATTCAAAATGATGCTTGCAGCTACAAATTTCTATGTGGTCATGTGGATTGACTTTATTAGAATACATACTTTTTGTTACCATATTTTAAATTTCTGAACGTATTTTCAGTATGATTTTGATCCTAATTTACGAGTAAAGAATTAGTAATACGAACAGTTATTCATCTATTACACAGGCGACTGATTTTTCTCGGAAATTTATCATTCTCATTCGAGAAAATGCAACTTTACGCAATGTATATATTCTGGGTTTATGAGTCAATATGAACAATAGAAGAATGCACACCGTTGATGATCTTACATCGGTATGCTATGATTCAGCGTCGACTTGTATCCATTATTTGTTTATTAGTGAATTTATTGAGTTTATAACCCACGACTCACCGATGACAATTCATTCATCACATGTAGATGAACTGTAGCAAAATTTCAGCAAAATTACTAATATTTCAATGTTGCTCAATGCATGAACACGTTAAATTACAATCGGGAATTACTCAAAATATTTATCAACATTCTGTCGAGAAAGTAGCCGTTTGGCACATAAAAATGAGAATATCCTATATATGTGAGATTTTTTTAAAAACATTATGTTTATTGAAAATGCAAACTTTATTTATTTTATTTTGAACTATGCAATGCATCCACGTTGCTTGCATCTGTTGCTTGAGTTAGTTACTGTATCTGGGATCTATATCACGAACTTGAGTTTTATCTACGGTCACCCATGCTTCAATGCGAAGAAAAACAATGAGGAAATAATTAAACATTCGCACTCTGGATCTGGATTTTTCAACTGATGTTCTGTCCCATCCTTCTCCAGAATGAAACTTCTTCGCATGTCATTGATCCGCAACTATCATATATTAATGCTGTCACAATTTAGATTGTATTAATATTGTTGCACTTCTGCATTTTTCAATCCAACTCGGATAAGTGTTTACAAATATGATTTCTTTTACATGAATGAGTTAAAGATTCTTTTCCATCAAAATATGTTTTTTGCTTTTACGTGTATATTAATCCTTTCCCTGTCTAGGGGTTTTCCTACTAATTACTCATGTGTCCACAATACTTTTTAAACTTACAGTTGAAGTAGGATGCTGAAAATTTGACAGTTTATAATTGATACCATGAGTTGTGTATATTCCACCTAAAAAGGCGTACATTACATGCGATGTACGCTACATTTTTGTAAAAAAAAATTGGTTATATGTTCTGTGCATCACATATGATCACATAAACTTTTTTGTGCGGGTTATTTGCGAAACTTACTAATTTTGTAGTGACAATTACAATTAATAGGAATACTGCTAGATATTACGGGAAGCGTACTGATGGTGATTATAGTGGGTCAAACAGCGACTAAAGTGGAAGTTGGCAATTATAAATCCAAAAGTGAATTTTCGGCTTCCGATTATGACGATACCAATCCTGTTTCCCCACCCCCAACAAACATGCAACAACCGCAAAAACAGAATTGTGCATATTGGAAAAAAGACGTTACAGCAAAAGCTCAGATTGTGTTTTCTGGTGGAGGGTGACTAAAGTAAAGATATTGTGCATGACGACAATAATGATGTTGCACCAATAGAAGTATTTCTTTAATTCTTGATATCTCACAACAAGAACAGCAAGTTTCACACAACGGCCAAAAACAAATCTCATGCTTTATAGGGCCTAGGCCAAATCCCCAGGAGAACAGATGGAAAAATATCCAGGAAGAGATGCTATCGCTGTTATGAAACTTTTTCTATAAGTTCTGACTGACAACAAGCAGCAGCAAAAGCAGAACAAGTCTCTACAGAATTCATGGAGTGCTAAAATCTTTCTGCCTGGAATATTTTAGCGATTTACATGAGAACCATTGATGAGGCCCCTGACGTTGGGATGATATTTTGAATTAGAAGCTTTCGGTTGCATCTTCTTTTTCCTCATGATCGTATGTGATCAAACATGTCTAGAAACCTGGTGTGAACGAAAATATAACTCTATTTCAAATAAATGTGTGGTTCTATTTTAATTGGAGTACAATCATCGCTATATTTTGAATTAAAAAGTAGGGAGCGAGTGCGAGAGTTTTAAAATCGCGTCTGAAGTTGGGTAATTTAATAGTTATTGCCGTATCAGGTTTGATCACCTTGTTTGTATGCCTGATGAAAAAAAAAACGGAAACACTGAAAATGTATCTTCATGATGTTGCCTTTTGTTCCTTAATATGTGGCAACTAGATTTTCGCGAGAAGAAGGGGGGACGGAAGGTGCATCGACGAGCAGGTTTAGAAGTTCCAAATGAATAAGAATATCGTCACGCTAATATCCGAATTGCGTAAGTCATTTTTAGCAGTTTTGAGAAAAACGTAAAAAACTTCCTAATGATATTGTTATGCCATCGAGAGTCAATAATTTGCCATGGTTCAATTTTTTGATCGAAGCCTGATTTAAGTTAATTTGTATGACGCAGTTAAGTGAAGTCATAATGGCGCACTGTGAATTAGGCAAAAATGTGTCTATGATTTGGGGACATACGCAATTTTGCAACTTTACTATATGGACTAGTCCTAAAAACTAAACATTCCAAAAACGAATGTAATTCTCAGTATCTACAATGTCTAATCCCCAAAATAGCTAATCAGTTTCAATTACAATATTTTTTATGTTTAAAAATATATATTTCATCAATATAACACGTTCTGCACACCCACCGAAATAAGACTAAGATTAAATATAAAGAATAAAACAGCAATGCACCCAATATAAAAGCCAACCAAGGCGAATTAACTCGAACAGTGAATATCACAAGTGCACGTCTTCCTATACTTTAGTATAAATTCAAATTAATACGCGCTAAGCTAGAATCCGAGATGCAAAAACTCGAAAATACTTCGCCGAGGTTATTTTGCCTTTGTGACGCCAGAATAGTCCTGTGGTAACGAAGATAATTCATTATGACAAAACAATTGCACAAATGTGCATGTCATACTAAATCTCTATTTTTATGGGTTTCGGAATTTTTAAAATAAAATCTGAGTTAACAGACAAGTGCGCAGCATTACATAAATACCTATTTTATAAAAAACTCGAAATCGCCAAAAAATGACTTACGCAATTCGGTTATTAGCGTGACGATATGTAGATTACGGATCATGTCTAAAGTGCTTCAAAATGCCAAAAGAAGTTCATTCATTGCTTTGCTACATTATTGTCTTTTGTATGCCCTTTATTATATTTATGAAATATTCCCTTGCACTTTGCACATTTGCGTGAGTGCGATACCAAAATACACCGCGCGCGGAAACACACAAATGTACGTTAAAGTTCAGAATGTACCATATGCATTGTGATAGGCAATTTTAAATGGTTCAGGAAGGGATGAGATTGCAGAAAATATTATTCATCATTAAATTCAACGAATCGCATTCAATTGATGTAGATAAGGAAGCCAATCCCAATGACTCGAAAAACGTTTCCTTTTTCATAGACGACTTATTTAACCACGAACTCAACGGTTACTGGCATAACAGATTGGCGTCTGGTGAGTTTATTCTTTATAAAAAAGGACAGAATCGTTACTAATTTATCGCTAATGTGTTGCGTTGTTGTTCGTTCTTCTGTTATTTTAATCAAAAATAATTTTGTCTTCCCAGTTAAGACAAAGGAAACCATTCCAGGCCAGAATGTTAACTTAATAAAAATATTAACAAATAATTTTGTACATTTACTTTGAAGTAAAAAGATTCACGATACCGCAAGATTCATGATACAGTTTGTTTTCGTCTGGAAGAAAAAAGTGATATAATAAGCTTTTTATGTTTAGAACTATTTGTCTTGCAACTGCTTATTCAAACGTTTCAAACTTTTATCTGAGTTATGTAAATCATTTTGTCCTGGTCCTAGTTTTGTTGACAAATCATTACCCGCCGAAAAAAATAGTTTATTATAATTGATGCAATCAACACGACAGATTGTTAAGTTCATAGACTGGTGGATATAAGAAACAATGTTTTTGTTGTAATTACTTCGCTTATAAACCAACAAATTAATGAAATTTTATTTTACAGAATAAATAAGGTGAAAGTATATTAGTGTTATATAGAAACGAGCTACTACGGAGTTCGGCTTGATCATTACAATTTCTTTGGTAACTTCTGTGCCATGAGAATCTCTGAATAGTAAGTAAAATAAATGTTATTATTTTATATCGTGTTATACGTTTCTTTTTGCCACGTTTCCTCCGATTATGATGACAATCCGACCTTTGCTTAAAATTTGTCAGATGGATATCAGATTTCCACTCTCATATTGTAGTAAGAAATATTGTTCACACGGGGCAGCCAACCAAGTGATGTTTGGACTTGTGCTTCCTTGTAATTCTCCAAGTCACCGTCCCATCTGTATCTGCTGATAACTACACAGCATCAGCGGATCCACATTTAGCATTAGCGTGTCAGTGTTGGCTCACAATTACTCTGTCAATATTATACTATCTAGCAATTGTTCCAGTACTTGATCTGAGATAAAATTTCATCATTTCATTTAGCTCCATATTTTTAGACACGTGCGATTCGTCCGTCACCTTGCAAAAATCGTGGAAATATTTTTTCATTGGAATTTATCCAATCAATACGACATATTAGTAAAGTTCATAGACTGGCGGATATAAGAAACAATGTTTTAGTTGTAATCAACCAAAATAATTAAATAAAATTTTATTTCGCAGAATAAATAGTGTGAAAAGAATATCAGTGTTACATAGAAACGAGCTACTATGGGGCTTGGCTTGATCATTTCGATTGCTTTGGTCACTTCTGTGCGAGGAGAATCTCTGAATAGTAAGTTAAATTCATATTACTATTTTATATCGTTTTATATGATAAATCCTGCTGCGCATCGTTCGATTAAGATTAGAAACTAAAATAAAATTCGTTAGATGAATATCAGGTTTCCGCTTATATTATAAGGAATAAAAAATGCTTACACAGGTCAGCATACTAATCAATTGTATTTTGACTTGTATTTCCTTGTAGTTCTCCAAGTCATCCTCCCATCTTTATCTGCTGTTATCTACACAGCATCAGTGAATCCACGATCAGCATTTGCGTGCCAGTGGTGGTAGCTCACAATTCTTCTATCAATGATATACTATTTCGCAATCTTTCCCGTTTTTGATAAAACTCCATTTTTTCACACCACTCACCCATGTTTCAGACACGTGCGATTCGTCACCTTGCCAAAATTGGGGAACTTGTCAAAATACGACTGAAGAGCCGTATTACACGTGCGCTTGTCGGCAAGAATATCAGGGAACTCAGTGTGAAGGTATATTGTCGATTTCACTGAAACTAAATACACAATAAATTTTTTTTTCTGTAAAGTTGAGACAATTTATACAACATGTCCTGGGTAATTTATTGTTTCTGTAGTATAGTGCGAAAAATTTTGAATTTTTTTTTTTTGAGGTCCGTCCATGAACAAAAGTAAGTATCGGTGGGTCGAGGCTTACTATTTAAAAAAATCTAGATCAGTGGTGGGCAAGTTTTTGAACTATGGGCCAAAATTTGGCGGGCCATGTACATGTTAAAAAAGCAAAAGTGGAAATCAATAAGCCTCGTACCAAACTAAATATCATCACAATCTCAACAAATTAGTTGAGCTATTGCTAGCTGAACATCAAAATTTGGGTTCGGTTTGGCTGTTGCAGCATCAGGCGGGCCAAATTGAATTACCCAGTGGGCCTGATTTGGCCCATGGGTCTATTCAGTAGTTGTCCATTTCAGGTCTATTTGCATTTGGTTGTATCGAGCTTATCTTGATGGTTAATTTACATAAATCCGTAATTTTTATTTACGAAATTTCTGATAAAATATAGCTGATGAGGTTCCACCTAGATTATGAATTCCGCTAATATGCTGACATAAAATTGCTATTTTCTCCGCTTAAATACGAGAATTATTGCTATTATCATTGAAAATAACGCTCATTTTATTTACTATCGAAAAATCCACTCTGGGTTTCAAATTTAAAAATGATAACTTGAAACCATAAAGCTGCGAATGGAGTGAAATGGAAAATAGAAATTTCGTGCTTCACCAAAATCGAAAACTCTTTTCGTGGTAGCTTTTATGACTTTAATTTACGAAAATTATAGAAAACTATTTTCAACAAATTAGCAAACTCATTACTCTATGCCAGCGTTTCCCAAACTTTTTGGCCACGGAACATTTACGGTTTTTATTTCGCCTCGCGGAACACCAAAAAAGGAAATGATAAAGAAAAATTGTGTAACGAAGTGCGTTTTGCCAAATTCGCCGCGAAAACTAACAGAATTGTGTTAAACATAACTAAATTGGATATGTTTTCCTGAGCATCGATTTCATTGTATTTCCGTAACAATTACAAATCAGCAATAAGTTAACAATGACGTAACAATTGGAATTTATACCAACGCTCTTTTTTCTGGCCGCGTACCACTGAAAAAGCCCCTTTTTGGCGCGGGAGCAATGGCACAAGACACGCGCTATGGCAATATTTTATAAGGTGGCACTACATCCTTAGTGACCTAATTCGCAAGACGGACGAAAACATGCTCATCTCGATTCGTTCGTGGACAATAGCAGGCGAGGGCTATCTCTGAAGACTGGACTAGCCCGTAAAACGTTTCTCCGACCCTTGACCCCAAAACAATTCCTCCAATACTTGACTATTCGAAGAAATTATACTTATTTTGAGAGTGTTTTGATGTGTTGGCGCTCTTAAGCTGGTTCACGTGATTGAAAACCCTCATTTTTATTAAAATGATTAAACCATGTGTCGCTTACAGGCACTGATAGCTTCGTTTAGACTAGTCTACCGCAACATTTGCGAGTCTTATTTTTGATTACAGCATCTAAATTAATGCTTCTTTGAAAACATAATGGCAATTAAGATATTTAATTCACTATTTTTTTGAAACGCGACTCAAAACTGACAAATAACACGCGAAACTACGAAAACGAGGCAATGTTTACTGATTGTTGCTAGTTGAGGAAATAAACAAGGAAATTGATGCACGGGGGAAACATTCATAAAGGTCGTTCAGCGGATACATACAGTATGGAAGATAAAGCGTTGTCGGCATATTTTGGCCAACACAAAAGTTAATAGTTGCAATAATTCAAAGCTGCTCGCGTACCAATTAATCACTAGTGGTACGCGTGCCACAGGTTGAGAACCACTGGTTGAGACAGATATTCACACGCGTTGTAAACATTGCCTCTTTTGGTAGGTTTGCGTGTTATTCGTAAGTTCTTGGTTATGTTTCCAAAAGATAGTTGTAAATCAAATACCATAGTTGTCAATATGTCCTCCGGGAATCTTTAGTTTAGTTACAATATTCAAAAAGTGATGCCCCAAACTAAGCGATAGACTAGCGAATAAAAATGATAGTTTTGAACATGTGAGCCAGTTTGTAATCGCCAACTCCCCCAAACACTTTCAAAATCAGCGTTGGAAATTTTGCAATGATAAAGTATAGAGAGAAATTTTCAGGGGTCCAGGGTCGGGAAAACGTTCACAAGATTAAATATTTCACAAAAGGGATGGGCAAAATAGAGTAAACATGAGTATTTTTATAAGCATTATAAAGTAAAATTATGCAGCGATGGAAAATTAGAGTTGACCGTTTGCCTTTATTGGATCTCCGCTTCTAGGAAACCCTTATTATCAGTCGTTCTGTCTATGTATCTGTCCGTCTGTCTGTTAAGACGTAGCGTCTAAACGGCTGGACCAATTAGGATGAAATTTTTCATGTGGGTTATCCCGTCACCCTAGTATTGTGCGCTTCATAGAAAGTCCGGATGGAGGTTTCGTTTCCATGGAAACAGCGAAAAACGCGCCGATCGTAATGAAATTTTAATTTTTTTCACAATTTCTCGCCGTTTTCTCGCCAACTAAGTCGAAAATTCCAAGAATTCCAAGTCGCTAACTTCTGCATAGCAAAACACTCTTTCCAATAAGTTATCGTTGGTCTCGATACTCCATAAACTGGCCCTAGGGATTTTGGTGCAGATAATATTTTAATTTTCAGCCACAATATACCAGTCACGCGAGTAAGACTACGAAACGCGCAGGGTTTGAAATGAACTCAGCGGAACGCCCAGCGTTCAAATGAACTGGCGTTTTTAGCAGTGCCTCCTATTATCCGTTAGTAAACTGAAATGATGGGGCCCTCAAGCAATGGCGGAGATCCAACTGGGCGCCTACCGGCTTGTTTTTTAGGTCTTCAGTTTGCCTATAGCAAAACCAAAAAGATTCCTGTAAACTTGGTAATGAACTTGACAGTCAAAGAGCTTGTCTAACAAAAACGGTCGCCAGTTGGGCGACAACTTCATGATCCCGATATCGCCATGGCAACCAATTTAGTCTTAATATTTAACCTTTTCCATGGAACACTTGGAACACGCACTAGTGTTCCGAGGAACATATAGTTTGGGAAACGCTGCTCTATGCTAATTACAGAATATAAATGCAACGTCTGTCGTAATAAGATTTAAACCGACCTATTAATATCGCTCTCTGAAATTCAAAAATACGCTTTGGCGTATAGAGAGGACAGGGGGCACAATGTTGTCATCAATTTCCTATTATGTTATATATGGATAGGACAGGTTCTGAATTCTTTGTTTATTGCTGTGGTGAGGTAAAGCCGAAATAACGGATTCTTCATATGACGTACCAAGGCCAGTTACCAGTTCATGTCAAGTATGAGAATAGATAACCAAATATTTGTTTCAAATGCGCGGTATTGAGGGTGGAGAAGGCCAGTGGTCCTTTTGCATGTATTCATCCCTCAAGTGATGGGAACGATACAAAGTGTCCGATGGCACGCTTGAACACACAACCGCATAAGATCATATATATTGTTAACCTATGTTGATGACCCATAGTTGTGCTTTTATTCAAATTTTTTATTGAACTCACGATAACGTAACAAAATGACAAAATTTATTCGATTTTCTTAGTTGGAGTTATCGGTTGTCATATCAAGGTTGTCGGCATTTCTAAGTAAGGGCGGTGGATCTGAATGGCAACGAAAACGTTTACTGCAAATTGCATCCAAATGGCGTAAAATAAGTCTTCTAAACACTTGAATAACTGTTCAAATAAACATGTTTTAAAAATTAATCTAATGAAAGTTGTCAAGCCATTTCATTTTATGCAGAAAGAAGATTCATCAATAGCACTGCAAACAACTGCAAATATCACGTCAACCATCGTGATGCAAAATCATTCACCCAGTCAAAATCAATTTGTAGCAGTCTTGGAGGTACGATAGCAATGATGAAAACATCAGAAATACAGGACTTGGTTGAAAGTCAGGTAATAAATCAGTATGGAGCAAGAGGAGGAATCCTTGAGTTTCGAATTGGTGGATACAAAGCTAATAAGAGGTGGATATGGATTGATGGTACAGACGTGCCAACAGGAAAAGATTCAAAATGGTCAACAAATTACCAAACTGCTTCGGGCAGTATGGTTCTTGGTTCGTATCGCAGCGGCAGGAGCAACATGGCATGGTTTACTAAACCAAACTATGAGAGCCGCGGCTACATATGTGAGATATCAGGTATTTAATCATTTTCAAATGTGATATTCTAATATATGAGTGCCTGTGTATATTTTGAATAACGTCCTAACGTTAATGATTTAAATATTTTAGTGGTTGACAGATGTTCGGTATTTCCATGTCATAATTCGGGAATCTGCACACAAATTGGTTGTCAAAAAAAGTGCGAATGCACGTGGGGTTATACGGGAGAAAATTGTGAAAATAGTAAGTTTCATTTTACTATTAATAATAAGAAAATAAATAAATAATAAGAAAATGTTGGAGTATACTCACGTGCCAAGGCAACGCTTCTTGAAAATATTTTGAATAACTCCTATCACAAATTTTAGTAACAATAAATTCACATATTTACCGCACTCAACATTATCACGGTTTTTCTCGATTCAATTTGAGCTTAATTCGATAACCCAGTTGTTTAATATTGCTGTACACTCTAAATAACACCCAACGAAATGTAAACCCATACTTCGTACTACCTTTTCAGTAAGACAATGCACGAAAAGTACATCGCGCATAAACACGTGTGCGATCTAAAATTGATAAATGGTATTGCGTTGAATTCAGGAGTATCACAGATTTCTTGCTTCCAGTCTGGAATTTCAATTAAGTGGAATCGAGACCATCACACGTTGGGAAGAGTGTATAAACTTTATCTGGAGGTGATTGGGTATTTCATTGTTAGCAATTTCATTTGTTTGAGCATCTTGAAATTTTAAATCCAATTATTTCGATTTAATGAAATTATTTCAGTATTAGATTGAATACAGTTCTTGTCATACGAATCGATTGCGCGCTCATCATTTATATTATTAGGGCCATTCCAAGCAAAAGTTGAATTCCATCAATTTTTCAAAAAGTGTAGTGAAAGTAATTTTTTTTTATTTTTGATATCAAAAGACATTGGAATTTTATTGGACTGCATTCATTTCATCGAACAATTTAAAATTTCACCCAGGTTTTTGATGGTTTATAAAAAATTGCCTGAAATGTAGAAATTTTGGTATAATTGATATATTTTGTGATGATTCCTGGCACAAAGTGTTTGATTGTGTGGTACAGTTATTTCATATGGAATTGACACACTGGATTTAAGTTAATAAAGTTTAAATGTTTGCAGTGCTGTAGGACATTTCTTCACCCATTTAACGATTTATTACCAGAATTTTGAGAGATGATAGAGGCCGCTATTCCGAAGTGGAAAAATGTCCTGTAGTGTCACATACAATATGCACATTATTGGCATGGATTTACAGTGTTACATTAAGTAACTTGAGCAACACATAGAGGGGTAGTTCAGCTACTGCACCAGAAAACACTATGGGCTCCTGCTGTATCATCGCAAAAATTTACAGCACAACACAACGTACTGTTAGTGCATGGTGGATTTGCCGTCCTGTAGTGTCACGCTATATTTTACTATACTTTTTTATCTACTAAGTAAGTCTTGGGTGTAACTTTTGTGCAATATTTTACATATTCAATAAAGCAACTGATTGGACAATGAAACAAAACATGTAGCTGAAAATGTGAAAATATATTGCATCCAACAAAATGCAAAATTTCTGGAATTGTCCTGTAGTGTCACTTGGAATAGCCCATTAACGTTTCTGGGTCAATACTTAATAACACTGTTTATAATATTCATAAACTTTATTGCAAAAAATATGCAGTGATCAAAAAAAAAAAAAATAAGTCTTGGATGTTTGAAAAATGAGTTTGCTCTATTCTCAATAAAGATAATTTCATTTCTTGATCATATTGGTGTTAAAATAAAATTTGTTAGGGTTCATCTCGGTAAATATTCAAATACCAGGAATGATAAATATTATAGACTTCATTATAGACAAATACATTGCCATACAAGCAATAATCATAATTTATCATACGAGCAATATTAATTATATCTTTTACATAGGATTTGATGTCTAAGACGACCAAAGCAACAAACGTACAAATCCTAGTGACAGATGAAGCATCAATAACTATCGGGAATGTGTCCGAACCGACACCGATTCACTGCGTCTCAAGCACTCGTCTTTCCATATCACCCAATAAATATATTCTTGTGGATCTATGGGTAGCTCGGATCAGAATGACTTTGAAATCCGTTGCTAAAGTCTATTACATCTTTGATGAATCAAAGTTCAAAGTCGAACTTGTTGACTTGTCGTAAAGTAAAACTTTATTTATTGAGACTCTCAAATAATTGTCATGATGTTGTATAATGTCTATCTTATGACATATCTGTAGGGTTACCATATTTTTGTGACTTCAAAGCGGGACGCCTTCAATGACCATAGCTGTATTATGGGCCGCTTCGTGGCCCATCGTTGTCACGCGTTTTTATTTTGAGAAAATTTGCTTCGGCTTGGGACCAACGTTGTCATGCAAAATCCTACGCGCACAAACGGTGTTTCCTGGGTTTCTAACTCACTACTGATTTTCCTGAGCAATATTCAATAAATTCAAAACGGAAAGTTCTATAAATTCTCCATGCTACAAGCTCAACTAGAAGTAATTATTTATAATAATAATAAGAGAATATAGAATTGAGTACGAAAATTCGGGAAATTTGTTTTTGCGTGTAGAAGGTAAATACGAACCTACGGTACCGGTACGCTACCGGTACAGCCAAGGGTGCGTCAAACTTTTTTGCTGATAATGGTGCTCCTTAAACCTAACTTCAAAATAATTTTTTGTGGATAAATAAATTATAAGTTAGATGTTGTTATAGACAGATAGACCGTGCGTGAGACTAAAGAAATTCAAGTACCGTAATAGTTGAATGTTTGGACATCAATATTCAAATTAACCAACAAACTCACTCTTGTGTTACATGTCTGCATGTCTGATGTGATAATCTTAAGTAGACAACAAACAGGCTTGAATATTATGCAACGTCCAAGGCCTAAGGGTTTTATATCAAGAGTGAGTAATGAGTATACTACTTTGATAACATGTTGATTGTTTATTTAAAAGACTTACAGATATACCGATACCGGTACATTTGAGATCATATCTAAAAATGTCTGACGAGTAGAAACATGATGAGCAGTTGGAAGCTGCGGTGAAGACTTACGTTAAAGACGGATTAAAAGGCCAAAGAAATGCTTAATTTTCAAAGAAAAGACAAGGCGTGATATGGTTGGAGCTTCAGTACTTTGGATCGATTGTCTGCCATATTTCAAAATATATTATATTGACCAGCATGTCAATGACAAACCCAGGGAACACCGCTTGTGCGCGTAGGATTATGCATGACAACGTTGGTCCTAAGCCGAAGCAAATTTTCTCAAAATAAAAACGCGTGACAACGATGGGCCACGAGGCGGCCCATCGTTGTCAACCTTTGTATTTTTTTTATTCACGTTTTTTTTTTTTTAATTTTATAATTTTGTTTTTATTTTATTTTCGTTTTTATTTTTAATTTTTTTTGCACTTTATTTTTATTTTTTTTTATTTATTTTTTTATTTTTTTTTTAATGTGTTTTCACAACTATTTTTTTATTTGACTTTTATTTTAAGGTTTTTATTTTATTTTTTCAATTTTAAGCGTGACAACGATGGGCCACCATACTGTACCACTCCAATTCACTAAAATTCATCAGTCCTAACGGTACTCCTAGCTTTTTTCTTGCGTGCTTCACGTTCAACAACGCATCGCGGATTGGAGTTCTTCCATCCGATCGAAACATCACTTCTGAATCACGCGGTGACGAACAGTACAAAATGTATTCGCCACCTAAAAGTAATAATTTCATACTCAAATTTAAAAATATAACAGAATACGCAATGGCGAAATGTCGTGCCTTACCAGGTGCTTTCTTTATATAGCTCCCGCATTCGGTAGATCTTTTTTTCCACAATTCGTGAATATATTTTAGCTCAAATCCTTTGGCGGAAGTATTATCGAGTGCGGAACCGATAAAAAACAATTTTGCCGGCTCGACCACTTCAGTGAATGGCTTGGGCTTGTAAGTATTTTCTGCAAAAACATGCAAACTAGTAGTTATTGTGTTAATTGCAATTTTTACATGTATAAAATATGTAAGTCAGAGAAATTAAATAATTTAGATTCGAATCGAAGCTGAAGGAGATTCTAAATGTAAAATAGGCGGATAAACCTTTGATTACGTTTCATGTGACTGATTTGCATGGTTATGTGCAAAGCTTTTCTTGTCATAGTCGAAAGAAACTTGTATGAATTGGTCAGACGAAACGTTACAGAAATACATGTGCACCAAACCTCTCGGTTCCGATACCAATTATCAAAGCACGTTGATTATTTATATATTAGTCATTCATTTCAACCCTTACCATGAGCAGTGTGTACAGGACAAGATAGAAAAGAAACCGAACTTAGTCTCTGCAATCTTCTTTCATGTAAGCATGCCTGCTCAAACACAGAAAATATTAGAATATAGATATATTACACGAAAATAATGACAGTTTGTTTTGACGGCGCTCGCGTGAGGACGTCGGACGGAGTCAGGAATTACTTCATAACGATACTACCCATATACTACAAGGAAAATTGTGAGTTGTATATATTACTGTTTCTTATTGGGAAACTTAATATTTCAACCCATTTTATCGGCTGCGGCCGGTAAGGTGGGATATGTATGGAATCGAAGAACAAACAAATAAACGTCGGGGTGAGGATGAAATTGGACCTTCAATCAAATTGAGAAATGTTGCATTAACTAAAACGACAGAAGCGAAAAGTCACCAATTCCGCGTTGTGGTGTCAGGTGTTGACCGTCCAATAAGGACATACAATCATAATGCAGTTATTAAAGGGTTACGTGAAAAAATCGGTGAATATAAAGTCGTGAAAGTTTTGGCTTGTGGAGAACTATTGGTAGATTGTTGTGACAAATCCCAAATGACGAAACTGTTAAATTGGAAACAACTCCAAGTTTATCCGTTCTATGATTTTTCGATACTACCCGCTTGCCTTCAGTCGTACATGTGGGGTACTTGAGATTTGCAGTACGAGTATACAATCCGCCACCACTAAGATGTTTTAACTGCCAGTCTTTTGGACATATTTCCAAAAACTGTCGGGGATCAACGCGGTGCGCGAGGTGCGGAGGACGTCACCTTACCAATGAATGTGAAAAGGCAGAAAGAGTATGTTTACACTGTAAAGGAAATCATAGTGCGGCATATAGCGGATGTCCTAGATACAAAGAAGAGGCACATATACAAAAAATTCGTGCTCAACAAAGCGTCACTTATTGGGAGGCAAGATCAATTGTCAGAAAAAAACAACATTGCAGCTGCTCCAATTTTCTCAGAGGAAAATTTTCCCGCTATGCCGGGTCCCGAATGTTCGTCTAATCTAGAAATATTTCGTCTATGTCTCAGCCAATACAGTCAGTTGATCTGTCACAAACTACATGTTGTCAACATAGAATAATAATAATAATCAATGAAAAATCAACTTCCTTTCCAGCGAGGTATACGTAATACTGACGAGGACATTCAAATACCCAAAATAAATTCATTATCGTTTTGTGCTTTCATAGCAGATATCATAAAAATCACTTTAAACTCGATTTCTAAAGAATCAGAATTGGACATGATCTCAGAAATAATAAAACGACGCATAAAAAGATTGGGATGATTTTAGATAAACAGAAACTTGTTTCCTTAGTTAACCTGAAATAATGGTACTCTCACTAATGCAATGGAACTGCAGAGGCATATATATATAGAAAAAATACACGAATTCAAACATTATATAGATACCTTGTATTTAAAGCCAAATGTCATTTTGCTCCAAGAGACCTTTTTATCTAGCAAATACACGCCTGTTTTATATGGTTATACGTTAATTAGACAAGATCGGAACACTTTCTGTGGAGGGCTATGCATGTTCGTGGATAACTCGTTACCACACACTCCCCTGTCGTTAACCACCTATCAAGAAATAGAGATACAAGGCATTGTTGTCGAAGATATCCAGATTGTTAATATATATATATATTCCGCCGGATGCACACCTTGATGAACATGAATTCATGTCAGTATTCGTACAACTACACTCAAACACACTCGTATTGGGAGATTTCAACTCACACCACACACTCTGGGGCAGTTCATACTGCAACACATCTGGGTGTATACTTTCTAAGTTGATTGACCTACATTCCTATGTCGTTCTGAATACTTGTCCAACTAGATTGAATATCCATCTCAATGCTAGTAATCGTAGTTCGCTATTAGACCTCTCTCTCGCCAGTGCTAATATTGCACACAGATGCGTCACTCGTGTATCAGACGAACTAATCGGGAGCGACCATTACATAATTACAACATCTGTTGATATTAGGATGTCAATGTCAGACCAATTCAAACCAAATTAGGCATTCGATCGAACTAACTGGGATAAATTTAATCGACTTTTAGATACTCATATATAAGATGTAATAAAATCTGAAGACGTTGAAGTATTTTGCGACAATTTCACAAATTCGCTTGTTACGGTTGCTAGAATGTCTATCGCCAAAACTAAACCATATAAAAAACCAGCAACCCCTTGGTGGAATGATGAATGCTTCAAACTTATAAGACTGAAACGAAAAGCTTACAACAGGATGAAACGATCCATGTCTCCTATCGATATAATTAATTTTAAACGTTGCAGAGCAAACGCACGTCGCGGAATATTAGAGGCAAAAAAGACCTGTTGGCAAAACTATTGTAGTTCTCTCAGCAAAAACTCAAACGTTACGCAACTATGGAGAACAGTTCGTGCAATGTCTAATATAGGTAACAATCAATTTAAAATACCAGCAATAGTTAGTTGTACTTTAGTTGATGATTCCGAAAAAGTCAATGCGTTTGGACGTTATTTTACATCAGTCAGCTCATCCGATAACTATTCCACGAACTTTTTAATCAGAAAATTACAGTTTGAAAAAACTTGTCAAGTTGAAGTAAAAGATACGGACGGCATCCTAGATGTTCCTTTTTCGGAATGGGAACTGGACAACGTTTTGCGACCGAGAAAGAATACATCTCCCGGATATGATGAAATATGTTAAAAAAATAACGCTAGATTTCACTGACTCGTTCACGAATTGTTGCGTCTATTATCATCGAAAATAATTACAATTGTTAAATTTTGAAGCATTTGGGCAGTAATAAATAATAATTAAGCCTCAAGGCATGACATAATCAAAATCATTAAGTGAAGTGCTGAATTTGCAAATTCCGTAAAGAAAATAGAGCATTACTCAGTACGTATTTTAGCTATAATTACCATCGGGGTGTTGTTTTGTTGAAAAAAAAAACGTTAAAACTTGAAGGAATTAGGTATAATTAGAGTCTGGCCCTCTATTAGGCACAAAAGCCTAGAAATGCCTTTATTGTCAATTTATTTAATCGCTATTTTAAATCAACATTCAGGATTCACGCAATCGTAAATTTGCTAGGTTTATCTATCTAATACTAAAATAACACGGACACCATAGAAAAGCATGAGAAACTTAAATATCATTATAATAAATATCTGCATCTCGGTTACCGTTCACTTTAAACATGCACGGTTAATTTACAAGCGGTGATACGGAAGATCGAATCCAAGGCAGAGGATAACCTTAGAATAGAATTTATTTGGTTTTGAAATCAGTCCTTAAATGTATTCAACAGCTGTCGCTGATGTGAACGCAAGGGTATACTAGAAATATGAAATTTCGAATACAACTTTAGTATATCGCCGCCAAAACGATCGCGGTGACAAAGACAATCAGCAATTATGATAAAATTAACCATTAAAAAACGCTTTATTGCCGACTTTTTGATATTTCTATTAATTTCCAAATGGAGTATCGACCTCTGACGTTCTGGATTCCTGTTATGTATGAAAAAACATTCAAATCATCCGATTCGAAAAAAGATTCAATTTTGCCCACCCTACCCTAACAGCTTTTTAATTAGTCTTTGATTTCTAATAAGTTTGTCAAAGCGGGTCGCAATCGTTGAGGATGCAAGCTGCAGTAGCTTCTTGAGATGATCGCCAGATTTTTCGGGACTATTTTCGATTACTGGAACAAAATTAAAATGCTATAGAAATTGAAATAATCATCGAGTTATTTGATTTATACATAAGATCTGGAAATGCGACAAAATCTAAAAATCCACGAAAGCAAGACAATGATTACAGCCATGTCTAAAATCTTTCCAAGTGAAAAGTGTCCGATTGGCCGCGAAAACGCTCGCTGTTGCGTCACTATTGCATCTTATAGGTTAGTCAACGCTACGCAAATAAACGCGGGGGAATCCATTCGGCTAACTAATAGACATCAGCATTTTAATTTCGAGTCAATGATTAGTTTTCAATGAAAAATTTTCTTTGAAAATAATTGATTTTTAAAATATTAACGGGAGCCGCAGGAAAGGTTGTTGAGAGCCGCATGCGGCTCTCAAACCCTAGTTTGAGAATCACTGATCTAGTCTTAAAATTGAGAAGGACTTCAAATACCTGGGAGTCATATTCGATTCACGATTGACATACAGAAAACAGGACAGGAAAAGGGTTAAAACGCACTAAAGTTTTTTTTCAGTTTTTTCCTGTGCTTGAAATACAAATATATATATGATACTTGCGTGATACCATGTATTTTACATTCATTTAAAAGTTCGAAGTGAATATTTTATTTATCGCCATACAACGGATAAAAGTTCATTAGTTCTGAGGCAAATGATCGTTCTATCCTAGATGAAAATTTGCGAAATATTCTAAGATTAAATTATTGAGAATTTATCACCACAAATAGAGAAAAAGCAGCAGCGGCAGGCAATTCGTTTAAACATGTCTAGAAACCTGGTGTGAACGAAAATATAACTCAATTTCAAATAAAGGTGCGGTTCCATTTTAATTGGAATACTCTTATACAACCATCGCTATATTTTGAATTAAAAAGTAGGGAGCGAGTGCGAGAGGTTCAAAGTCGCGTTTGAAGTTGGGTAATTTAATAATCATTGTCGTATCAGGTTTGATCAACTAGTTTGTATGCCTAATGAAGAAACCGGAGACACTGGAAATGTATTGTCACGATGTTGCCTTTTGTTTCTTAATATGTGGCAACTAGATTTTCGCGAGAAAAAGGGGGGATGGAAGTTGCATCGTCGAGCAGGTTTAGAAGTTCCCAATAAAAAAGAATCTATAGATTACGGATCATGTCTAAATTGCTTCAAAATGCCAAAAGAAGTTCATTCATTGATTTGCTACATTATTGTCCTTTGTATGCCCTTTATTATATTTATGAAATATTCCTTTGCACATTTATGTGAGTGCGATACTAAAATACACCGCGCGCGGAAACACACAAATGTACATTAAAGTTCAGTATGTACCAAATGCATTGTGATAGGCAATTTTAAATGGTTCATGAAGGGATCAGATTGCAGGAAATAGTATCCATCATTGAACTCAACGAACCTTTTTCATAGAGGGCTCATTTAAGTACGAGATCAACGATTACTGGTTTTCGTCTGAAAGAAAGAAGTGATATAATAAGCTTTTTATGTTTAAAACCATTTGTCTTGCAAATGCTTATTCAAACGTTTGACGACTTTTATCTGAGTTATATAAATCATTTTATCCTGGTCCTAGTTTTGTTGACAAATCATTACCCACCGTTAACGAAAAAATAGTTTATTATAATTTATTCAATCAACACGACAGATCAGTAAAGTTCATAGACTGGTTCATAGACATATATACAAACGAGCTACTACGGAGTTCGGCTTGATCATTACAATTGCTTTGGTAACTTCTGTGCCAGGAGAATCTCTGAATAGTAAGTAAAATAAATGTTATTATTTTATATCGTGTTATTAGTTTTTTGCCACGTTTCCTCCGATTATGACGACAATCCGAACTTTACTTGTCAGATGGATATCGGATTTCCACTCTTATATTGTAGTAAAAATATTGTTTACACGGGGCAGCCAACCAAGTGATGTTTGGACTTGTAATTCTCCAAGTCACCGTCCCATCTGTATCTGTATCAGCGGATCCACATTTAGCATTAGCGTGTCAGTGTTGGCTCACAATTACTCTGTCAATATTATACTATCTAGCAATTGTTCCAGTACTTGATCTGAGATAAAATTTCATCTTTTCATTTAGCTTCATATTTTTAGACACGTGCGATTCGTCCGTCACCTTCCAAAAATCGGGAAAAATTTTTTTTCATTAGAATTTAATCAATCAATACGACATATTAGTAAAGTTCATAGACTGGCGGATATAAGAAACAATGTTTTAGTTGTAATTAGTTCCCTCATCAACCAAAATAATTAAATAAAATTTTATTTCGCAGAATAAATAGTGTGAAAAGAATATCAGTGTTACATAGAAACGAGCTACTATGGGGCTTGGGTTGATTATTTCGATTGCTTTGGTCACTTCTGTGCGAGGAGAATCTCTGAATAGTAAGTTAAATTCATATTACTATTTTATATCGTTTTACATGATAAATCCTGCTGCGCATCGTTCGATTAAGATTAGAAACTAAAATAAAATTCGTTAGATGAATATCAGGTTTCCGCTTATATTGTAAGGAATAAATAATGCTTACACAGTTCAGCATACTAATCAATTGTATTTTGACTTGTATTTCCTTGTAGTTCTCCAAGTCATCGTCCCATCTTTATCTGCTGTTATCTACACAGCATCAGTGAATCCACGATCAGCATTTGCGTGCCAGTGGTGGTAGCTCACAATTTCTCTATCAGTGATATACTATTTCGCAATCTTTCCCGTTTTTGATAAAACTCCATTTTTTCACACCACTCACCCATGTTTCAGACACGTGCGATTCGTCACCTTGCCAAAATTGGGGAACTTGTCAAAATACGACTGAAGAGCCGTATTACACGTGCGCTTGTCGGCAAGAATATCAGGGAACTTAGTGTGAAGGTATATTGTCGCTTTCACTAAAACTAAATACACAATAAAGTTTTTTTTCTGTAAAGTTGACATGTCCTGGGTAATTTATTGTTTCTGTAGTCTAGTGCGAAAAAGTTGGAAATTTTTTTTTTTGAGGTCCGTCCATGAACAAAAGTAAGTATCGGTGGGTCGAGGCTTACTATTTAAAAAAATCTAGATCAGTGGTGGGCAAGTTTTTGAACTATGGGCCAAAATTAGGCGGGCCATGTACATGTTAAAAAAGCAAAAGTGGAAATCAATAAGCCTCGTACCAAACTAAATATAATCGCAATCTCAACAAATTAGTTGAGCCATTGTTAGCTGAACATCAAAATTTGGGTTCGGTTTGGCTGTTGCAGCATCAGGCGGGCCAAATTGAATTACCCAATGGGCCTGATTTGGCCCATGGGTCTATTCAGTAGTTGTCCATTTCAGGTCTATTTGCATTTGGTTGTATCGAGCTTATCTTGATGGTTAATTTACATAAATCCGTAATTTTTATTTACGAAATTTCTGATAAAATATAGCTGATGAGGTTCCACCTAGATTATGAATTCCGCTAATATACTGACATAAAATTGCTATTTTCTCCGCTTAAATACGAGAATTATTGCTATTATCATTGAAAATAACGCTCATTTTATTTACTATCGACAAATCCACTCTGGGTTTCAAATTTAAAAATGATAACTTGAAACCATAAAGCTGCGAATGGAGTGAAATGGAAAATAGAAATTTCGTGCTTCACCAAAATCGAAAACTCTTTTCGTGGTAGCTTTTATGACTTTAATTTACGAAAATTATAGAAAAATATTTTCAACAAATTAGCAAACTCATTACTCTATGCCAGCGTTTCCCAAACGTTTTGGCCACGGAATATTTACGGTTTTTATTTCGCCTCGCGGAACACCAAAAAATAAGAGTGAAAATGATAAAGAAAAATTGTGTAACGAAGTGCGTTTTGCCAAATTCGCCGCAAAAACTAACAGAATTGTGTTAAACATAACTAAATTGGATATGTTTTCCTGAGCATCGATTTCATTGTATTTCCGTAACAATTACAAATCAGCAATAAGTTAACAATGACGTAACAATTGGAATTTATACCACCGCTCTTTTTTCTGCCCGCGTACCACTGGAAAAGCCCCTTTTTGGCGCGGGGGCAATGGCACAAGACACGCGCTATGGCAGTATTTTATAAGGTGGCACTACATCCTTAGTGAGCTAATTCGCAAGATGGACGAAAACATGCTCATCTCGATTCGTTCGTGAACAATAGCAGGCGAGGGCGATCTCTGAAGACTGGACTAGCCCGTAAAACGTTTCTCCGACCCTTGACCCCAAAACAATTCCTCCAATACTTAACTATTGGAAGAAATTATACTTATTTTGAGAGTGTTTTGATGTGTTGGCGCTCTCAAGCTGGTTCACGTGATAGAAAATCCTCATTTTTATTAAAATGATTAAACCATGTGTCGCTTACAGGCACTGATAGCTTCGTTTAGACTAGTCTACCGCAACATTTGCAAGACTTATTTTTGATTACAGCAACTAAATTAATACTTCTTTGAAAACATAATGGCAATTAAGATATTTAATTCACTATTATTTTGAAACGCAACTGAAAACTGACAAATAACACGCAAAACTACGAAACCGAGGCAATGTCTACTGATTGTTGCTGGTTGAGGATATAAACAAGGAAATTGATGCACGGGGGAAACATTCACAAAGGTCGTTCAGCGAATACATAAAGCATGAAAGATAAAGCGTTGTCGGCATATTTTGGCCAACACAAAAGTTAATTGTTGCAATAATTCAAAGCTGCCCGCGTACCAATTAATCACTAGTGGTACGCGTACCACAGGTTGAGAACCACTGATTGAGACAGATATTCAAACGCGTTGTAAACATTGCCTCTCTGGTAGGTTTGCGTGTTATTCGTCAGTTCTTGGTTATGTTTCCAGAAGATAGTTGTAAATCAAATACCTTAGTTGTCAATATGTCCTCCGGGAATCTTTTGTTTAGTTACAATATTCAAAAAGTGATACCTCAAACTAAGCGATAGACTAGCGAATAAAAATGATAGTTTTGAACATGTGAGCCAGTTTGTAATCGCCAACTCCCCCAAACACTCTCAAAATCAGCGTTGGAAATTTTGCAATGATAAAGTATAGAGAGAAATTTTCAGGGGTCCAGGGTCGGGAAAACGTTCACAAGATTAAATATTTCACAAAAGGGATGGGCAAAATAGAGTAAACATGAGTGTTTTTTTAAGCAATATAAAGTAAAATTATGCAGCGATGGAAAATAAGAGTTGACCGTTTGCCTTTATTGGATCTCTGCTTCTAGGAGACCCTTATTATCAGTCGTTCTGTCTATGTGTCTGTCTGTCTGTCTGGCTGTCTGTCTGTCTGTCTGTCTGTCTGTCTGTTTAGACGTAGCGTCTAAACGGCTGGACCAATTAGGATGGAATTTTTCATGTGGGTTATCCCGTCACCCTAGTATTGTGCGCTTCATAGAAAGTCCGGATGGAGGTTTCGTTTCAATGGAAACAGCGAAAAACGCGCCGATCGTAATGAAATTTTAATTTTTTTCACAATTTCTCGCCGTTTTCTCGCCAACTAAGTCGAAAATTCCAAGAACGCTACCTTCTGCATTGCAAAACACTCTTTCCAATAAGTTATCGTTGGTCTCGATACTCCATAAACTGGCCCTAGGAATTTTGGTGCAGATTATATTTCAATTTTCAGCCACAATATACCAGTCACGCGAGTAAGACTACGAAACGCGCAGCGTTTGAAATGAACGCAGCGGAACGCCCAGCGTTCAAATGAACTGGCATTTTTAGCAGTGCCTCCTATTATCCGTTAGTAAACTGAAATGATGCGGCCCCCAAGCATTGGCGGAGATCCAACTGGGCGCCTACCGGCTTGTTTTTTAAGTCTTCAGTTTGCCTATAGCAAAACCAAAAAGATTCCTGTAAACTTGGTAATGAACTTGACAGTCAAAGAGCTTGTCTAACAAAAACTGTCGCCAGTTGGGCGACAACTTCATGATCCCGATATCGCCATGGTAACCAATTTAGTCTTAATATTTAACCTTTTCCATGGAACACTTGTAAGACGCACTAGTGTTCCGCGGAACATATAGTTTGGGAACGCTGCTCTATGCTATTTACAGAATATAAATACAACGTCTGTCGTAATAAGATTTAAACCGACCTATTAATATCGCTCTCTGAAATTCGAAAATACGCTTTGGCATATAGAGAGGACAGAGGGCACAATGTTGTCATCAAGTTCTTATTATGTCATATATGGCTAGGACAAGATATGAATTCTATGTTTATTGCTGTGGTGAGGTAAAGCCGATAAAACGGATTCTTCATATGGCGTACTTAGGCCAGTTACCAGTTCATGTCAAGTATGAGAATAGGTTACCAAATATTTGTTTCAATTGCGCGGTATTGAGGGTGGAGAAGGCCAGCGGTCCTTTCGCATATAATCATCCCTCAAGTGATGTGAACGATACAAAGTGTCCGATGGCACGCTTGAACACACAACCGCATAAGATCATATTGTTAATCTATGTTGATGACCCATAGTTTTGCTTTTATTCAAATTTTTTATTGAACTCACGATAACGTAACAAAATGACAAAATTTATTCGATTTTCTTAGTTGGAGTTATCGGTTGTCATATAAAGGTTGTCGGCATTTCTAGGTAAGGGCGGGGAATCTGAATGGCAACGAGAACGTTTAGTGCAAATTGCATCCAAATGGCGTAAAATAAGTCTTCTAAACACTTGAATAACTGTTCAAATAAACACGTTTTAAAAATTAATCTAATGAAAGTTGTCATGCTATTTCATTTTATGCAGAAAGAAGATTCATCAATAGCACTGCAAACAACTGCAAATATCAACCATCGTGAGAAAAAACATTCACCGAGTCAAAATCAACTTGTAGCAGTCTTGGAGGTACGATAGCAATGGTGAAAACATCAGAAATACAGGACTTGGTTGAAAGTCAGGTAATAAATCAGTATGGAGCAAGAGGAGGAGATCTTGGGTTTCGAATTGGTGGATACAAAGCTAATAAGAGGTGGATATGGATTGATGGTACAGACGTGCCAACAGGAAAAGATTCAAAATGGTCAACAAATTACCAAACTTCTTCGGGCAGTATGATTCTTAGTTCGTATCGCAGCGGCAGGAGCAACATGACATGGTTTACTAAACCAAACTATGAGAGGCGCTGCTACATATGTGAGATATCAGGTATTTAATCATTTTCAAATGTGATATTCTAATATATGAGTGCCTGTGTATATTTTGAATGACGTCTTAACGTTAATGATTTAAATATGTTAGTGGTTGACAGATGTTCGGTATTTTCATGTCATAATTCGGGAATCTACACACAAATTGGTTGTCAAAAAAAGTGCGAATGCACGTGGGGTTATATAGGAGAAAATTGTGAAAATAGTAAGTTTTATCTTACTATTAATAATAAGAAAAAAAGCAATAATAAAATGTCGGGGTATACTCACGTGCCAAGGCAACGTTCCTTGAAAATATTTTGAATAACTCCCATCACAAATTTTAGAAACAATAAATTCACATATTTACCGCACTCAACATTATCGCGGGTTTTCTCGAATCAATTTGAGCTTAATTCGATAACCCAGTTGTTTAATATTGCTGTACACTTTAAATAACACCCAACGAAATGTAAACCCATACTTCGTACTACCTTTTCAGTAAGACAATGCACGAAAAGTACATTGCGCATAAACACGTACGATCTAAAATTGATAAATGGTATTGTGTTGAATTCAGGAGTATCACAGATTTCTTGCTTCCAGTCTGGAATTTCAATTAAGTGGAATCGAGACCATCACACGTTGGGAAGAGTGTATAAACTTTATCTGGAGGTGATTGGGTATTTTATTGTTAGCAATTTCATTTGTTTGAGCATCTTGAAATTTTAAATCCAATTATTTCGATTTAATGAAGTTATTTCAGTATTAGATTGAATACAGTTCTTGTCATACGAATCGATTGCGCGCTCATCATTTATTTTATTAATGTTTCTTGGTCAATACTTGACAACACTGTTCATAAAATTCATAAACTTTATTGCAAAAAATATGCAGAAAACAATTGATCAAAAAAAATTAAGTCTTGTCTGTTTGAACAATGAGTTTGCTCTATTATCAATAACGATAATTTCATTTCTTGATCATATTGGTGTTAAAATAAAATTTGTTAGGGTTCATCTCGATAAATATTCAAATACCAGGAATAATAAATTTTATAGACTTCATTATAGATTAATACATTGCCATACAAGCAATGATCATATTTAACATACGAGCAATATTAATTATATCTTTTACATAGGATTTGATGTCTAAGACGAGCAAAGAAACAAACGTGCAAATCCTAGTGACTGATGAAGCATCGATAACTATCGGGAATGTGTCCGAACCGACACCGATTCACTGCGTCTCAAGCACTCGTCTTTCCATATCACCCAATAAATATATCCTCGTGGATCTATGGGCGGCTCGGATTAGAATGTCTTTGAAATCCGTTGCTAAAGTCTATTACATCTTTGATGAATCAAAGTTCAAACTCGAACTTGTTGACTTGTCGTAAAGTAAAACTTTATTTTATTGAGACTCTCAAAGGATTGTCATGATGTTGTATAATGTCTATCTTATGACATATCTGTAGGGTTACCATATTTTTGTGAACCTCAAAGCGGGACGCCTTCAATGACCATAGCTAACGATGTAAAACAGCTGTTGACACCAATAAAATTTATGTGGACGTGTGTATTTATTTCCTAACTTGATACGTACCAATTTTTATGAAGTTTGTACAATCAGAACATCGTTAATTATTACCCACAATGAACCACTGTCAAACTAACGTGCACAACTTCAGCGTTTATTTGCGACTACCTTTCAGCGGTGTCAAGACCGTTGCCAGAATAAAATTGTTTTCTATTTATTATTTTATATATTTGTTATTGTTTTCTTATTTTCACTCAGATCTATCTACTGGCGCAGTTTTTATTCAAATCGGATGAACTTTATTTTTTTTGTATCTTACCTACATGAATATCCGCATTTAAGCAGTACAAAAATTAGTGTGACTTGTGAGATTGGAGCAGTACGCGAGGGATTACAGTTCTGTTAGCGCAAAATGCACATTCGACGTTTATTTTAGCAAAAAGACGTAAACAGTTTCGTCGAATGCACGCGCCACGAGTGCATCTTTCGCAGAATACGTTGCCTCCCAGTAGAGAATTTTAGCCTATTTTGTCACAGCTATTTCTTAGACTAATTTTTCATTGCTACCATTCCTAAAACTACAACTCCTAAAGAGGCAAATGATGATTGACTTATTTGATTCATACTTAAATTTCCCAAACACAACCAGAAACTAACGAATAGCATTCAAAATGCGAAAAGGCCCATTATTAAGTCACTTTTTTGCATCTTGCTGATTGGCCAATGTTACGAAATAAACAAGGAAGACGATGCTCGAGAAAATTTTTCTTTGGAAAATATTTGACCATTTTTGTGTGTTATTGCGGGACGGATAAAATGACGACGCGGGCCGGATCCGGCCCGCGGGCCGTAGTTTGGTGACCTCTGATCTAGAGTAACACACATCTGTGTTTTGTACTCGGCGGGATAGAAACGGGTATAGGATAGTTTATCTCAAGTTGACGGAAACAACTTCACGTCTTGTTGGGCTTGAAGTGGATTGTTTGTTATATTTTATTGTTTTGCTACCACAAAATTTCTTAGGTAGAAGATTCTTTGCTATTGGCAGGCTTGTCAATGGGACAAATTATTCTGTCCCATCCCAACCCATCCCATGGGATTCCAATCAGAATAAAATTCAATTAAAATTGTTAAATATAGGGTTAGCGTTTACTAAATAGGGCTACATGTATACGAAGAGACATGCAAAGCAACAAAATTTACGGATTTTGTTAACTTTATATTCATAACTATTATGTCTCCATCAGCCCTTCACGAAGTACATTGTTAATGCTGAATATATTTTGCTCTTCATAACTAACAAGAGAGCTATGCTCGAATATATGGATACGAAATCCATAACAAGATGTTTTACCATCATTTCCTCGAAAATCATATGATTTTCGTGTCCGACGTGTCCCATGGGAAATACAAATGTGTGCTGTCCCATCCCATTCCATTCCCATGGACAAGCCTGGCTATTGTTATTGCTATCCAGCGTAAAACTCTCCTGTCTTGGATTCAGGTCGAAGGCTCTCTTCGGTTCCATTACATTTGAACCCACGTACATTTGAACCCATGGCAATTGCACCTGTATGCTATTGCACCTATGGAATTTTTTTGTTTTTCGGATAGTTGAACCCACACTAACCCTAACCCATGGGTTTTAGCACCCGCATATAGATTGAACCCGTGGATATACACATGGGTTCAAATGTACGTGGGTTCAAATGTACGGTCACCCTCTCTTCATCTCAGCTGTGTCGTACTCTACCTCGCTTTCGCCTGAATGCTTGTGATCATGATTTATATAAATATCAGAATAAATTGTGTTTGAGATGAGTATATATATATATACATTTTATAATGTGTCACATTGCTGAAACTGCTAAGGGAGGGCCAAGCTAAAAAACTTAAGAGTTCCATACTCGATTAGGTATACAGTGATTTAAACTGTGCATAAATTCAAAGGGGTGCTTGCAGCTACAAATTTCTATGTGGTCATGTGGATTGACTTTGTTAGAATACATACGAGGTGCGGCTAAAATGAAACGGGACCGACTCGTACTTTGTGTTATCACATTTTGAATTTCTGAACGTATTTTCAGTATGATTTTGATCCTAATTTACGAGAAAAAATTAGTAATACGAACAGTTATTCATCTACTACACAGGCGACTGATTTTTCTCGGAAATTTATCATTCTCATTCGAGAAAATGCAACTTTACGCAATGTATATATTCTGGGTTTATGAGTCAATATGAACAATAGAATGCACACCGTTGATGATCTTACATCGGTATGCTATGATTCAGCGTCGACTTGTATCCATTATTTGGTTATTAGTGAATTTATTGAGTTTATAACCCACGACTCACCGATGACAATTCATTCATCACATGTAGATGAACTGTAACAAAATTTTAGCAAAATTACTAATATTTCAATGTTGCTCAATGCATGAACACGTTAAATTACAATCGTGAATTATTCAAAATATTTATCAACATTCTGTCGAGAAAGTAGCCGTTTGGCACATGAAAATGAGAATATCCTATATATGTGAGATTTTAATACAGCATTATGTTTATTGAAAATGCAAACTTTATTTATTTTATTTTGAACTATGCAATGCATCCACGTTGCTTGCATCTGTTGCTTGAGTTAGTTACTGTATTTGGAATCATTATCACGAACTTGAGTTTTATCTACGGTCACCCATGCTTCAATGTAAAGAAAAACAATGAGGAAATAACTAAACATTCGCACGCTGGATCTTGATTTTTCAACGGATGTTCTGTCCTATCCTTCTCCAGAATGAAACTTCTTCGCATGTCATTGATCTGCAACTATCATACATTAATGCTGTCACAATTTAGATTGTATGAATCTTGTTGCACTTCTGCATTTTTCAATCCAACTCGGATAAGTGTTTACAAATATGATTTCTTTTACATGAATGAGTTAAAGATTCTTTTGCATCGAAATATCTTTTTTTGTCTATTTCGTGTATATTAACCCTTTCCCTGTCTAGGGGTTTTCCTACTAATTACTCATGTGTGCAGAGTACTTTTTAAACTTACAGTTGAAGTAGGATGCTGAAAATTTGACAGTTTATAATTGATACCATGAGATGTGTATATTCCACCTAAAAAGGCGTACATTACATGCGATGTACGCTACATTTTTGTAAAAAAAATTGGTTATATGTTCTGTGCATCACATATGATCACATAAACTTTTTTGTGCGGGTTATTTGCGAAACTTACTAATTTTGTAGTGACAATTACAATTAATATGAATACTGCTAGATATTACGGAAAGCGTATAAGGGCGAAACTGATGGTGATTATAGTGGGTCAAACAGTGACTAAAGTGAAAGTTGGCAATTATAAATCCAAAAGTGAATTATTTTCGGCTTCAGAATCCGATTCTGACGATACCAATCCTGTTCCCCCACCCCCAACAAACATGCAACAACCGCACAGACAGAATTGTGCATATTGGAAAGAAGACGTTACAGCAAAAGCTCAGATTGTGTTTTCTGGTAGAGGGTGACTAAAGTAAAGATATTGTGCATGACTACAATGATCATGTTGCACCAATAGAATATTCATTCAATTCTTGATATCTCACAACAAAAACAGCAAGTTTCGCACAACAGCCAAAAACAAATCTCATGCTCTATATAGGGCCTAGGCCAAATCCCCAGAAGAACAGATGGAAAAATTTTCAGGAAGAGATGCTATCGCTGTTATGAAAATTTTTCAATAAGTTCTGACCGACAACAAGCAGCAGCAAAAGCAGAACAAGTCTCTACAGAATTCATGGAGTGCTAAAATCTTTCTGCTTGGAATATTTTAGCGATTTACTTGAGAACCATTGATGAGGCCCCTGACGTTGGGCTGATTTTTTAAATTAAAAGATTTCGTTTGCATGTTCTTTTTTCTCATGATCGTATGTGCCAATGTAGAGCATTCGTTTTGAGCAGTACATGTAGATATGGTAAAATGCACATGCTCCACACGTTCTGAGCAATAAAAGTCTTTTCCACGATCGAAGTTTGAACCTTATCTGTGCTATTTAAAAAACTAGCTTTTGTGCATCACATGTGATGCACGAACGTCAGAGCAATATGTCATGTTTATCACATTTAATGTACAGGACAGGAAAAGGGTTAAAACGCGCTAAAGTTTTTTTTACTTTTTCCCTGTGCTTTCGAAATACAAATATATACGATACTTGCGTAATACCATGTATTTTACATTCATTTAAAAGTTCGAAGTAGATATTTTATTTATCGCCATACAACGGATAAAAGTTCATTAGTTCTGAAGCAAATGATCACTCTATCCTAGATGAAAATTTGCGAAATATTCTAAGATTAAATTATTGAAAATTTATCGCCACAAATAAAGAAAAAGCAGCAGCGGCAGGCAATTCGTTTAAACATGTCTAGAAACCTGGTGTGAACGAAAATATAACTCTATTTCAAATGAAGGTGCGGTTCTATTTTAATTGGAGTACTCTTATACCAGAGCAGAGCCATTATATAACTGGCTCTGCTTATACAACCAACGCTATATTTTGAATTAAAAAGTAGGGAGCGAGTGCGAGAGGTTCAAAATCGCGTTTGAAGTGGCATGGGTAATTTAATAATCGTTGTCGTATCAGGTTTGATCAACTAGTTTGTATGCCTATGGAAAAAACCGGAGACACTGGAAATGTATTGCCACGATGTTGTCTTTTGTTTCTTAATATGTGGGCCTGTGGCAACTAGATTTTCGCGAGAAGAAGGGGGGATGGAAGGTGCATCGACGAGCAGGTTTAGAAGTTCCCAATAAAAAAGAATCTGTAGATTACGGATCATGTCTAAATTGCTTCAAAATGCCAAAAGAAGTTCATTCATTGATTTGCTACATTATTGTCCTTTGTATGCCCTTTATTATATTTATGAAATATTCCTTTGCACATTTATGTGAGTGCGATACTAAAATACACCGCGCGCGGAAACACACAAATGTACATTAAAGTTCAGTATGTACCAAATGCATTGTGATGGCAACTTTAAATGGTTCATGAAGGGATCAGATTGCAGGAAATAGTATCCATCATTGAACTCAACGAACCTTT